CCCCCTGGAAAACCGGGGGAGCGGCCGGTGTCAATGCAATAGGTATGTAAGGATGAGTCAATATCATCTCTTCCTCCAACGTTTACGTCTGTTCGATGCACACTACTTTCAGCCATTTGATGGAGCATAATTAGAGTATTGGCATGCATGTGCGCGCGGACTAAGTTGTTAGTGGCTTGCTCAAGCCCACGTTCTGTGACCAGCCGGCTCAAAATTACAACGCAACCTGCATAACATGGAAACGTATTCATTAGCCTATATTTACGTTCAAAAATTATCTTTATCACTCAAAAAATAGTCGTTTTAGAGGAAGTTGAAATTTGTCCCAATTTATCTGCCCAACCCTGTATGCTGCCTAGTGCCTAGTGCAGCAGCTATAACGAACTTGATCAGGACGTCTGTGAGTTCAATCCGATAGCTAACTACTCCTCTGCTCCCCCTTTTTTACCTAATTGAAGTTATATTAGTTATTGCGGCTGGGGCCCGAGCCCTGCCGCCCGACTCGGACGGCCGGGCCTTGCGGTACAGTATGACTTCAGGCGTTGACTTCTAGTGCCATCTAGGAGGCATTAATCGAAACATAGTTTGACGAGCGAGACCCTAGGTGGGTAGTGGGCACTGCTGCAGCTAAAAACCATCGGCTGTCGACTCATCAGGGAAATGTAATTGTGAGAACGTTTCGCATCGAAAAGGCAACTACCCTGAAGCGAAATAATGTTCGGAATCCACCGTTGCTTTATCCCGCGCCCCTCTGGGCCTCCTGTCTCATGAGTTCTTGATTTTTACGACCTCTGGGAGGTGCTTGAACATCTCCCTCCCTTTTATAACTCGGCTTCTGGTTCACGTAGTGCACCGTTCCGTGCTTCTATCCTCAGGATACTGAAATCCTTCTCCTCCACGTCGCAACCCACACTCCGGGCTGGAAAGGCAACTTTATCTCATGCGGGCTGCTCCCTTGGAGCGGCATCGCTGCTCCCGAGGGAGCGCACCCCGTAGCCGGTTGCAGAGTACATTGGGGCTGGGTGGCCTGTCCTCTGGACGGGCTCAGCCCCGGTGACTCACTAGGGTGCCTGCCCAGACCAATGTCTCCCCCTATATCCCGGCCGGGCCCGGGGGGTAATCCCAACCACTGCAGCCCGGGGGGGGGGCGTTTTTCGCCCCCCCCCCCCTGTCTAACTCCGTAAATAAGGGAGCTACGGAAACAAAAGCGATACCAAACGAAAGGTACTTACGAGACGATTCTAAAGCACCTAAAATTTTTGACCTCAGGTCAATTTTCATGGTCAGAGGTCAAGGTCAAAGGCAAAAACCGGCACATGTGTAGAGATCTCAAAGTAAGCCTTCTAGAGGACGGCAGGCTGCATCAAACCGGTAAAATTGGGTGTCAAACGAAAGAAGAGAATTTGGGGATTCCGAAACTGTGCTCAAAATCAAAGGTCAAGGTCAAGGTCACGCTCAAAATTGACCTCAAACTTGGCACTTTTTCGCACATCTTGCGTGCTAACTTCCAAGATGTTTTGAAATGTTTTGAGGCTTATCCGTTCCCTATTTGTGGTTCATCTTACGATACAAGGCTGCTCAAAGGTCAAGGTCACAGAAGAGTATCCCTGCTAGAGGCTATTTCACAAATTCAAGTTAGTTATAATAAATAAGACAATTTTGCCATCTGGAAGCTCTAAATGAAGGCTAAGAGGAAAATAGATGCCAGATTCGTGATCAGCGGATACAAATCCATCATATACGACCTTTCATGTGTCAAGGTCAACCAGAGGTCATTCGAGGTCACATGAGGTCAACATAACATTTGACCTTTTCCGAACAAAATATATATCATTCGACGCGGCTTGACAAGGCGAATGCGATGGTACCACTGCCGTAGCTCTAGGACCATTTTTGTCGAAGTTATTTGCGAAAAACTAAAACCACATTTCGGGGTCGTTGACCTGACCTCTGACCTCAGGTCACCAAAACTATTTTTCTATTTTTCTCTAGGTCAAACGCTACACAACCGTGCTCGTAATTTGTCTTTATCTCTAAAACTCTATTTTTAGTAGCTATTTGAAGTTTGCGTCTGTGACGCCGAAGTTTGCCGTGCAGGGGTCTAGAAAAATGGACCTTGTGACGTCATCAAGGGGGCCAGGTCCAAATTTTTTACTTCAGAAGATGTCAAATTGATGGGAAAAAAGGTACTGAAAGTTTCGCTTTCCTATCCCTAAGCGTTCGGGAGCTATCGCAAATATTCGCCAGGGGGGGGGGGGCGAAAAACGCCCCCCGGGCCCGCGAGGGATATCCTATCATCCTCCCGGCTCTGAAATGGTCCCATTGGACCGAAAGTGCCTAACCCACCAAAACAAACGACAAACAATCACGTAGTGATAAGCATTAGGCGACGTTCGAAAGAGAGTAAAATTCAGTAAAAAATTACTTCGGTCATTTTTAAAGCCATAAAGCCAAAGGTCAATGGTCAGGTCACCCGAGCCCAGAGTTCATCAAATGTAAAATTTCACCTATAGTTACATTTTGTACAAATTTGTGCTTCGACAAATCTCCTCGAACCTGCCTCGGCATAAATCGGGAGCGGACAGAGGTACAGCGCCTCGGAAAAGCGCATTCGATAGCTTTGTTACCCTTTTTTACTATGTCCATTTGCATATTTCCCTCAGAGATGCCCTAAATCAACGTTTTAGCCTCTACAGTCCAGTGGGGCAAAAACTTGATTAAAACGTTTTGGCGGGTTATTTTTCCATGTTTTGTATTTTTGTTCGGCCGGCCGGCCGCTCATACTCAGAAATTTCCGTTAATTTACGAAAGACTCCGCTCGCTTCGCTCTCTCCGTAAACTTGTGACTTAACCCTCCCCCGTAAACGGCGATCTGCCACCTTCGCCCATGCAGGGGGGGGGGGGTTGGTGCGACCCCCCCTTGGCGTTTGAAAACGGAGCGTCGTAGAGCTTAGCGGAAAAAACCAACGGATTGCTCTTGCCGAGATCTCGCGATTGGTGGTATATTTTTTGGTCCTAGGTCAACATTTGACCTACTTTTGACCGGTCAAAGGTCAAATTTTCGGAAAAATAGACTTTTTTCAACTTTCCGCGGCGATTGCGGCAAAACGGTGGGAGATATCGACTTGAAACTTTCACTATCGTGTTCCTTGATCAATTCTCTATCGTTTTGTATGTATTTCGTTTCCCTAGCTCTAAAAATGGCGCGTTGGGAGCGCCGGAACTCGGCAAGGTCACAGTCGACGGCAGAAATTCGAAAAATCAAAATTTAAATTTTTGAAATCTGATTGTATTTTTGGATTTGGAAGGTCCATTTGCTCCCTATAGAAGCTAATATTGCTGCATATTCCCATTGAGGTGACAAGAATTAGCAAAATAGTGGTTCGGGCGCTTTTCAAAAATAGTACCGGACGCTGTTCCTCTTGTGACGTCATAGCTCCGTGACCTGACCTGACCCGGTCAAGTTTCTTATACCATATGATAGACAATACTTGCCCCAACATGCATGAGAAGTTTCATCACGATCCATCAACCGATGTCCGTACCACCGGCAGGAAACCTCGGGCGTTAGCACTCAGTTTGTGAAAATCCGGCCGGAGGCTGTTCCCTTTGTGACGTCATAACTCCGTGACCTGACATGACCCGGTCAAATTTTTTTTTATCAAAAGATGCGCAAGGTTTGCCCCATAAGGTACCCAAAATTTGGCGGCGCTGCGCGCCGCCGTTTTTGCACTATTTCCGAAAAACCTCAGGGGGGGGGGGTTGCACCAACCCCCCCCCCTACATGGGCGAGGGTTAAAACTTACACGAAATTGTATTTACCAGCATCGTGTTTCTCTTGTCGAGACACGTCGTATGAATAAAAGTTGACCTTGGAGGTTCACTTTGAAATATATGACCTTAGGTCAACGTCATGACCTGACCGCAAATGGTCGTGTTATTGCACTCGATCCACATCTGAGGTGTTTTCATCGCTCCAGTATGTCTCTATCTAAAGTTACTGTCAAAAAAGTGTTGGGGGCCTTTCGCCTGAACTGAGATGACCTCAGGAATATAAAAAATGGTCACAGGGCAATTTTTCGATTAAATACTTCATTTTTAGCTACTGCCAGATGTTTGATCGAGTGTTTACTTCAAAAAAAGCACAATTCAATTTTCCCATTTTTTTTATAGGAAATGGTAGGTATTTGAGACGTCGCAAAATTCACCTGACCTTAGGTAACCGATATAAAAACTGAAATAAACCGTTTTTATGAGTTCTCACTTCTCAGGCCTTCATCAATCGCTGAAAATTTCAAAGCGATTAGTCCTAGGTACACTGAAAAAAACTTACACCTAGAGAGTTATTTTTGGAGTTTTCCCACTCCAGTTTGGCGAATAATCACGCACCAATGGCATATAATGATTATGTTTTGTAGCGTATTCTTACTCTCTGCATTGCATTAAGGGCGTTTTTGAAAGTTATTCTTAAACCTGGTACTATAATCATTTCTTTTGTGTTTTAGCAAGTGCTAATTTTATCTTCTTATTTTATCACGTGTCCTTTTTATTCTTTCGGGTTATAAATTTATATCAGTCTCAAAGAGGCATGGGGTAATTTTAGCTTATTTCACAGTGATAAACAAGGTCATTGGAATATATTTGTGCTGAACTCCCATTAGATGGTAATAAAATTGACAGCTAGAGTACTTTTATCAAAACTGCATAAAAGTAAACCGCTGTGGAGTAATTAGGGTAATTTTTATACTCCATTACGGCTGATAAATTGACGCAACAGAAAAAACTATTCTTTGTAGGTGTAAAAATTACTTCTTCGTGATAAAACTATCATGTCCGGACAATAATTTTATAACCATGGAGTAATATTATGTGGTAGCATTACTAACATTATTCTTCGGGAGTTCGGGAGCGTATTTCAAGCAATACTGTAACTTTCTTGATAATCCTATTCCGTTGTGACATAACTAATCTAAAAGTGATTAATCTATTCGTCCAGCACAGTATTATTCCAAGAATAATATTTTCGGAATGTCTCTGCACTTCGCGACTGCATTCGCGACCGCCATTGTGCTCAAGTCGTCAGAACCAAGGCCTTCTGCATCAGAGAACCGAGCAAGCGTCCCAGTCCTCGAAGGTAAGCTAAATTACTGTATACTTTGTGTTTTGTTAGTATGACTTTACAGTAATCCGTAGTATGACCATACAATCCAAGAAATGCGTTGACGTAGATTTGCGGACGAAGATTTCCGCGATGATGAAATTCTGGAAGACGAATTGTCACCCATGACATGCTCAAGGCCATTGAAACCAGGGGAAACAGCCATGTCAATTACCCTGTTTAGTTCAAGTTGTGATCAAGATTGTTATGTAGAGCTAATAAGTTATAGATTTTGTGATATTTTTTAAACCATGCAACTCACAGTGTAAGTAACAATATAAGCATCTCACTCAGGGACACTGTATGGAATGCGCCCAAATACCTAGTATGGCAGGGCTCTAGGTGCTGAAAAGTAGGTAGGCAAGCACCCAGCAGGGAGGAACTGTCCAACATGTTAAAGGGACACTCCCACCTTAACATTAGTTTTGAGTTGAGATAGCCAAATTGGTGGCCATGGCCTGCAAATACCGGTTTGGGCACTCACACATCGACAAATGCTTCAATTCGGAGATATGGAATTTCAAACTTGCAGTTTTCGGATTCTAAGGGGCTAGTGCATTGGTATGCCCTTAGAATTGTGACGTCAGCGCAGATCTAACGATTTTTAAATCTTTTACTAAAACGTTTGGTAGCACGGGTGGTATATGCTGCTTTGCGCGCAACAAATGCCGCACTTTCAAATAGTCGCTAGGAACAGCGGAGATCCCAAAAAGTAAACAAAAGTAAAAGTCTAATATCTTGAAAACCGGTGAATATTTTTCGATGAAATTTGGTAGATATGCGTTTTTGCTCTTTCTGAACCGAGCGACATCACTTTCGTGCCAATTCATTAACTTTTTTGAAGGTGGGAGGGTCCCTTTAAGTGCAGGTTCTCTTACCTGGTTCTCTTACCTGGTTGGGCTCCCTTGTCTGACCTGACCTGACCTTACCTGACCTGACCTTCCACAATGATATAATGTTCACTTGATGTTGCTTGATGTTAATTCCATTCATTAATGTGATTTTGCGATGTTTCCAGGTGTGGACTGACTTGGGAATGATCATGGGGCTCGAGGAGGACGTGAAGGAGCATGTCCTGCACAAAATCAGACATACCGCGAAGAGGTATGCCCAGACGATGATAAACGTGGAGCCGGCCGACAAAGACGGTGAGTTTTGAACGGGCACAAGCACACCTTTTCGGATGAGGTGTTCCGCTAGCAACACATCGTGCCGGGGGGGGAGGGATACCTACTCTTCTTCTATATAACTGGGCTCGAGCCGATCACCGTAGACAATATTCCTGCCAGGCTGGAATAATGTTTAGATCTGACTGATTTTTTTTAGCGAATGTAAAGTTAGGCCCGGGGTATTTTCGATAAATACGAGGTCAGGCCAAAACATTAGCCAAGACCAAGTGTAGGAAGGTATTTCCCACGCATGCTTCTTCCTGCACGATGGAGAAATGACGTTTCACATATCCCAATGGCGTAATACATTAATAGCAGAGGGCAGGCTGTTTATTTTCTTGATGATTTTTTTTTGGCTTAAAGGAAGACTGCCACCTTTTTTACACAAAACGGTTTTCACTAGACCTAACCCACCTATGACCTACCCTGAAGCCTAGTTTTCAAGATATCCGCAATTGGACTTCAGATTAAAGCCATCACAAATGTGTGGAATATGGGAATGTAACATTACCATGTTAAAATCCCATCTCCCACACTTTTTGTGATGGCATCAATGTGAAGTTCGAATGCGGATATCTCGAAAACTAGGACGAATTTCGGGAAACGGACTTCAGGGTAGGTCATAGGTGGGTCAGGTCTACTGAAAACCGTTTTAAACCGAAAACCGTAAAAAGGTGGCACTTTAACCCTCGCCCATGTAGGGGGGGTTGGTGCAACCCCCCCTGAGGTTTTTCGGAAATAGTGCAAAAACGGCGGCGCGCAGCGCCGCCAAATTTTGGGTACCTTATGGGGCAAACCTTGCGCATCTTTTGATAAAAAAATTTGACCGGGTCATGTCAGGTCACGGAGTTATGACGTCACAAAGGGAACAGCCTCCGGCCGGATTTTCACAAACTGAGTGCCAACGCCCGAGGTTTCCTGCCGGTGGTACGGACATCGGTTGATGGATCGTGATGAAACTTCCCATGCATGTTGGGGCAAGTATTGGCTATCATATGGTATAAGAAACTTGACCGGGTCAGGTCAGGTCACGGAGCTATGACGTCACAAGAGGAACAGCGTCCGGTACTATTTTTGAAAAGCGCCCGAACCACTATTTTGCTAATTCTTGTCACCTCAATGGGAATATGCAGCAATATTAGTTTCTATAGGGAGCAAATGGACATCCCAAATCCAAATATACAATCAGATTTCAAAAATTTAAATTTTGATTTTTCGAATTTCTGCCACCGACTGTGACCTTGCCGACTTCCGGCGCTCCCAACGCGCCATTTTTAGAGCTAGGGAAACGAAATACATACCAAACGATAGAGAATTGATCAAGGAACACGAAAGTGAAGGTTTCAAGTCGATATCTCCTACCATTTTGCCGCAATCGCCGCGGAAAATTTGAAAAAGTCTATTTTTCCGAAAATTTGACCTTTGACCGGTCAAAAGTAGGTCAAATGTTGACCTAGGACCAAAAAATATACCACCAATCGCGAGATCTCGGCGAGAGAAATCCGTTGGTCTTTTCCGCTAAGCTCTACGACGCTCCGTTTTCAAACGCCAAGGGGGGGGTCGCACCAACCCCCCCCCCCCCTGCATGGGCGAAGGTGGCAGATCGCCGTTTACGGGCGAGGGTTAACGACGGGCCGGACAACATGTTGTACCTCACCTTTGGACAGCCAATCGTCGTTGGTTTTGCTATTAGTCAAAAAGTGTTGTTTAACTCTAGTGATATTGAAAAGTCATGGTTGTCTCCATTCAGGTTGTCTCCATTCATGGTTGTCTTCATTGTCTCCAAATCTACCACAGTTACATGCAGTTTGATACCTACTTGCACTCCATACTTAACCATGACAGCGGAACATCGGGTACTAATTTCTTATTTCACTGAAATATTTTAACGACGTATAATTATTTTGTAATTATGCACCACGTTTTTGTGTGTATCGTACTACGCAAACGTACTACGCATCGTACTACGATTTTGAGAGTGAAAAGAAAAGAAATCAGGAAGAAGCGAAGAATCGTCTCCAGATACTGTAGATGGCATAGCCAGCTACTGTACGAACGCGGTTCCTTGTTTCTCTCCTAGGTTTCCTTTACGTTTATTTGTACGATATGCATTGATGCCAACTGACAGCAATATTCTTTTTCACGGCAGACGACGAGCTGCTAGCTCTACTTGCCTATGGTTGTGGATTGTGGAACAACCATTGGCACCTTGGCGGATCCGAGAAACGGGGTTCGTCAGGCAGGTGAGGAACTATCGGTGGACGGTGTGGTGGTCTGCCAACTGCCGGCCACCATGTTGGAGACCGTGGCCCTAATGACGGCCGCCCACGCTGTCTTCTACACAAAGTTCACGGGGCCCTGCAGGGCCCTGTCCGAGATTCTTTACCGGAGTGTGGGATTCGATGTAAACCTATCTGGCTTATCACAGAAGGTGTGGGAGGTTACCCAGGTAGTGTAGAACCAGCATCGGAGATGCCCACTTCGAATGACTGGCGACCTGTGGCTCACCTGTGGTTCAAGTGACTCGTGACTTGTGGCTCACCTGTGGCTCAAGTGACTCACAACGTGTGGCTCACACTACTGGAGCCTCTGTATTATGACTAATTCAGCTGCGGCGGTCTCAGTACGCCAATGAGTCTCATACGTCTTTTATACCCCAGATCACGCTCGTTTTATATGCCATCCGTGGCGGTGGTTCTGTGCGCAGATGTTATTCGTTAGCCTCAGTGTTAACCATACACGCTCGTTTTATCTGCCATCCGTGGCGGTGGTTCTGTGCGCAGATGTTATTCGTTAGCCTCAGTGTTAACCATACACGCTCGTTTTATCTGCCATCCGTGGCGGTGGTTCTGTGCGCAGATGTTATTCGTTAGCCTCAGTGTTAACCATACACGCTCGTTTTATCTGTCATCCGTGGCGGTGGTTCTGTGCGCAGATGTTATTCGTTAGCCTCAGTGTTAACCATAACGCCCTTGTGAGTTGTGACCTTGAACGTCCTTCCAGTGATTTCGCATTGCGGCCGGCAGAGACGAAGTTTTGCCTCCCAGTTGAGACGCCGCTTCTCAACTAGGAAGCAAAATTACGTCCCTGTCGGCCGCAATGCGCCATCACTGGAAGTGCGTCCAAATTAAGATGTACCTGCTGATGCTCAGGTACCATTCGTTAATCAATTGTTGGTGTTTCAATACATTGTTTAAATGCATTCCTTATTTTACACTTGGTCATAATATTATCACATCACCCCGCATTATCAGGGGTGGTACTTTTACACCGGGGCTTGATTTTACCGGGGAGTTACTCCGGGGTAAAATTATCAAAAAAAGGAGTGCTTTTTGGCATGGCAATATTATTCCCCGAATGGGAGCAATTTTAGTATTAAGTTAATAAAATTATCATCTGGTGTAATTTTATCCAAAGATAGCATACCTTTATCCTCCGTCATAAAATTACTCCCGAGCACGAATAAAATAAGCGTTCGGATACTAAATATATTCTATATGCTAGTTTTATTCCCCAAAACTCCCCATTTTAGGCGCTTATGCCAGGTCATAAAATTATTCGATTGCAGGAGTGCTTTTTGGCATTCTAAAATTAGAAAATGGGGAGTAAGTTTTTTTCAGTGTATATGCAAGACAAGCATTGGAACTTTTTATGAGGTGAGGTTACTTGGCCTGACCTTGTGAACTGACCTTGAAAGAACTAAATCTGAAATAAAGAGGCATGATACGATAAGGTGTACCAAGAACTGTGGCCCTACTTGCCGCCATTTTCTTTTAGACATTTATGGAATCCCACATGAGCCGTTTTCACAACGGCCATCTGGTATACATTTGGTGCACATCTGGTGCAGATAAGGTGCAGATTTGGTCAAATTAGGTTCAGTGAGTCTCTTAGTAGCTATCAGCTAGGGTTGCACTAATTGCTTATAAGCCTGCTTTTTGTCATATTATCAGAGAGTATCATTGATTAACCCTCGCATGTGTGCGGCGTTTGCCAGCTTCTAATGTGTGTGGGGGGGGGGGTCGGTTGGACCCCCCTTGCCGTTTGGCCCCTGATTGAGCTAGAGCTTCGCGGAAAAACGAGCGTGTTGCCCGTGACGAGAGGAAGCCGATGATACCCAATTTTAAGGTCCTAGGTCATTGGTTGACCTTCCAGGTCAGGTCAATGACCCAAAGTCGGGAAAATCGGGACCTGTTAGAAAGTCGTAAAGTGTGGCTGCTATGGGGTTTTTCGGGGTGCTGATCACGAATATCGTGTTAGTTTTGATCACAGATGATGTCTTGAAGCATTTAGACCAGGTCGGGTCAGGTCAGGTCAGGTCAACCAGTAGGCGTCGTGACGGGTATTCGTAGTACGTGTCAACCGCCTCTGACAGCTTCGTAACATGTTACGAAGTCACCAAAACTACTTCATAAATGTTCAAATGGTTGCTAAATTCGAATTCAGCTCCAAAAACTAGCCTAGAAACATGTAAAACTCGAAAAAAGTGACCCGAGGTCACCTGAGGTCACCAAAGGTCAATGACCTGACCTGACCTTCAGGTGACCTTGACACACACGGGAGTAACATCAAATCACATGTTTGAACGTTTGAAACCACGAAAAGCTTGCAAACACGCGGCTAGTGCGAGCCGACATAGGTACGCGAAATCGCGATTCCGGCCAAACATGGTCTCGGAAAAGAGGTCACAGGTCAAAGGTCATTTGGGTCAGGGTCATGAAATTTTCAGGGTAGGTGTAAAATTGATCAATGCGAGGGTACTGAAAGTTTCGTTGCGATCGGCCGCTTTTTACGCGAGTTATTCGCGAAAAACCATGGGGGGGTCCATCCGACCCCCCCCCCCCCCACAGGGTTAAAACACTGAAATGAATTCATAAAATAAAGATATTTGCTGTAAAAGAGATTAGGTGCAGATTTGGTCAAATTAGGTGCACTCGCCGGATAGCCCGTCGTGAAAATGGCTATATGATCGCAATCCCACACCCCGGCCCGGCGCGGACTGATGTGATAAATTTTAGCTAAAATGGGTTCATCGGCTTCGTGCATCTCCGATCTGGCAAGAAGCTTCAGAAGGTCACGGGAAGGTCACTCAGGATTCTGAGAACGCCATCTGCATCCTCTTCTTACCTACCGCGATGATCTATTCGTAGTAAATGGATATCTGAAGGAGTGTTGAAATAAAGATGTAATGAAAGTGATAAGATACCTAAATGAAAGCAATTAAGTAATGCGACCTGTACGCGGGCTGCCAATAGGCTTTCGGTTTTCTGGATGACTATTGGATTCTCGACTCTCGACCAGTTACCTGCGCGCCGCGCCCGCGGTCGGCTGCGGCGCCGGGAGCTCCGTTCCGCTCCCACTTCGCTGTGTGTCATTCCTTTCCCGTGTGAAAGGTGTGTGAGGGTGTGAGTGCAATTGGAGTGCTGTGACGACTGGCTGAACTTCTACGGTGCTGCCGACGATCAGTATGCACCGTGACCTGATCAGACACCTGCTGTTCCTGGCACTCACCTACCTGCTGGTGACGGCCGCGGCCCCTGCATCCCGGGAATGCGGTCCTGCACCACCCACAGCTGGTCACCACACCGACCGTCGAGGCTGCCGACACGTTGAGCGACTCCACTCGTCCCAGCCCCAGCACGCCCAGGCCCGGACGCCCGGTCACCGTCGCTCCGACCCAGACCGACCTTCGGCAGGCCGCGCCACGCGGCGTGGCAGGCGCGGCGCCAGCGCCCGGCGCCGGGGGTGCAGGGGCGGACAGGCGTGGCGGCGCTCCAAACACGGACACCATCTACTGGTTGGGATGCTTAACATCCAATCCCTGCTACCCAAGGTGGTGTCGCTACAACACGACCAACTGAAGAGGTTTGAATACGACTTCTTTGTACTCACCGAGACTTGGCTCCGATCCGCCACTGCCAGCCGGCTGGTGACATTCCCCGGGTACACCCTGCACCGCGCCGACCGGCCGGGCGAGGCGGGCTACGGGGTGTCGCTATCCTGGCGCACCATAACTACCAGACTGCTGTCATCGCCCAGCCATCAGCTGACTGCGCGGACTGCCGGCTGGAGTCGCTGTGGCTCCGGGTGAAGCCGGCTACCGGGCCGCACTTCACGCTCGCCGCCGTCTACCGGCCGCCGCGGAGAACGGCCGCGGCGCTCCAGGCGGACTTTGGCGAGCTGGAGCTCCAGTATCAGCGGGCGATACTACAGCATACCGGACATGTCATCATCATGGGCGATCTTAATTGTAATCTTTTAGACGCAGACCCAAACATCTGTAAAGACCGATTGCTTGACATGTTTCAATCGTTTCATTTGTATCAATATGTCTCACAGCCCACTTTTTCATCTGGCTCGCTCTTAGATGTAGTGATCTCAAACTCCGATAACATTGTCCGACGCGTTGGTGTTTTCCCGTGTGCTTTTAGCCCCCACTGTTTTGTTCGCTCTCTTTTATCTATACCGAAATGTCGTAAGGGTGCTTCTCGCATTAGATCAAGGTCGTTTAAAAATGTAAATCGTTTTGCTCTTATAAATGACTTGAACCGGGTCGACTGGACCGGAATTTTTAGTTGTACCTCTGTAGCTGACATGTGGACATATTTTACCAGTCGTCTTTTATCGGTCATTGACAAGCTAGCCCCGATTCGACTTGTGAGGGTCAGAAACCCCGATGCGCCGGCGGTTACGCCGGCCACACTGGACCTGATGGCACGGCGGCGGGGCGTGCTGCGCCGAGAGGGAAGGTCGCCTGCTTTCCGCGACTTAGACAGGGAGGTCAGGTCCGCTATCAGGCGCGATTGTCGTGAGGACATTCAGGAGAGGCTGCGTGATCCGAGGAGCAGTTCCCTCTACCGTGTCATACGACCAGTCATCGCCGGCAAGCGCAGCAGCGCGCCCAGCCTTCCTGCCGCCACACCGGATGAGATAAACACCTACTTCGTGAATGTCGGACCCCGTGTCGCGGCCGGCCTGTCCGATCTCGGGCCGCCGCCGGACATTCCGTGCCGTCTGCCGCGTGTGGGGCGTGCGGGTTTCGGTGTCGGGCACGACGCTGGGCGCCCTGCGGGAGGTCATGTTCTCCATGAAGCGTTCCGGTGCGTGTGGGTCTGATGGTATCTGTATTCGCATCCTAATCCTGTCTTTCGAAGCCATCGGACCTATCCTTCTCCACATTATTAATACCTCCCTTACCACTTGTGACATCCCTGATACCTGGAAGCATTCATTGGTCCATCCTATTTTCAAATCTGGTGACTCAACTCTGATATCCAATTACCGTCCTATTTCCATAATTCCTGTCATCTCCAAGGTTGTCGAGCGTGTGGTGCAGCGGCAGTTGCTCTCATACATGTCCGACAATCACCTCCTGTCCCAATC